TAACAAATCCTCTTCCATTATTTTATTTATTTATTATTATTTTTTTTTTTACTAAACTTCCCGTTGATTAGACGCAACCATCGAGTCACGTACGCACGGTTATAATTATGAGATAAAAACCTCGTAGTGGGAAACGGAAATTTTGACATAACCGAGAATATCCCGCACGCGTTGGGTAGCTGTCACGCGGGCATAGTGGCAGTGGGTGGATCTGAAACCGGGATGCCCCAAATTAGATCCGCCAAGGTATGTCGGCTTCTCATAAAACAATTCCTTGGCGCCGTTTAATGGCGAGCGTGCGCATGACGAGTCAGCTGGTGGAGAAGCGCCCGTAACTCGTTCATACATTTTCTTTTTTTCTTTTTTTTTTTAACTCTATTGACGTGTCCCGGAAAGCAGTCGAATATGAATCTCGTTAGGCAGAAAAAAAACTATTCAAACATAATGAACGTAAAACTGACATAGCTAAGATAGCCACGTGTACTCAATGAGCTTAGAGATTATCCCCGTTAATTCTGGCAGGTGTATTTTATCCAAAGATTTTTAATGACCCCGGCCCACCTGTGTTAGGATTAGGAAGGGGGCCAGTGAGGGGATGTCTAATTTTACGTACTACTCGTAAAGTACTCTTAGGATTCGTAGCGATTGGAGTTTATGGTTAATGCTACCGAGAGCGACACAGTTAGAGGGAAATATACATTCCTATCTTATAGAGCATAAAGAAATACCGTTATTAATATTAATATATTTAAGTTCGTGTTATTTGTAGGCCTGTAGTCAGAGTTCGTAGGGCCGAGATTCTGGTATATTAACTTCCACTCACACTCACACTCACACTCACACTCACACTCACACTCACACTCACACTCACACTCACACTCACACTCACACTCACACTCACACTCACACTCACACTCACACTCACACTCACACTCACACTCACACTCACACTCACACTCACACTCACACTCACACTCACACTCACACTCACACTCACACTCACACTCACACTCACACTCACACTCACACTCACACTCACACTCACACTCACACTCACACTCACACTCACACTCACACTCACACTCACACTCACACTCACACTCACACTCACACTCACACTCACACTCACACTCACACTCACACTCACACTCACACTCACACTCACACTCACACTCACACTCACACTCACACTCACACTCACACTCACACTCACACTCACACTCACACTCACACTCACACTCACACTCACACTCACACTCACACTCACACTCACACTCACACTCACACTCACACTCACACTCACACTCACACTCACACTCACACTCACACTCACACTCACACTCACACTCACACTCACACTCACACTCACACTCACACTCACACTCACACTCACACTCACACTCACACTCACACTCACACTCACACTCACACTCACACTCACACTCACACTCACACTCACACTCACACTCACACTCACACTCACACTCACACTCACACTCACACTCACACTCACACTCACACTCACACTCACACTCACACTCACACTCACACTCACACTCACACTCACACTCACACTCACACTCACACTCACACTCACACTCACACTCACACTCACACTCACACTCACACTCACACTCACACTCACACTCACACTCACACTCACACTCACACTCACACTCACACTCACACTCACACTCACACTCACACTCACACTCACACTCACACTCACACTCACACTCACACTCACACTCACACTCACACTCACACTCACACTCACACTCACACTCACACTCACACTCACACTCACACTCACACTCACACTCACACTCACACTCACACTCACACTCACACTCACACTCACACTCACACTCACACTCACACTCACACTCACACTCACACTCACACTCACACTCACACTCACACTCACACTCACACTCACACTCACACTCACACTCACACTCACACTCACACTCACACTCACACTCACACTCACACTCACACTCACACTCACACTCACACTCACACTCACACTCACACTCACACTCACACTCACACTCACACTCACACTCACACTCACACTCACACTCACACTCACACTCACACTCACACTCACACTCACACTCACACTCACACTCACACTCACACTCACACTCACACTCACACTCACACTCACACTCACACTCACACTCACACTCACACTCACACTCACACTCACACTCACACTCACACTCACACTCACACTCACACTCACACTCACACTCACACTCACACTCACACTCACACTCACACTCACACTCACACTCACACTCACACTCACACTCACACTCACACTCACACTCACACTCACACTCACACTCACACTCACACTCACACTCACACTCACACTCACACTCACACTCACACTCACACTCACACTCACACTCACACTCACACTCACACTCACACTCACACTCACACTCACACTCACACTCACACTCACACTCACACTCACACTCACACTCACACTCACACTCACACTCACACTCACACTCACACTCACACTCACACTCACACTCACACTCACACTCACACTCACACTCACACTCACACTCACACTCACACTCACACTCACACTCACACTCACACTCACACTCACACTCACACTCACACTCACACTCACACTCACACTCACACTCACACTCACACTCACACTCACACTCACACTCACACTCACACTCACACTCACACTCACACTCACACTCACACTCACACTCACACTCACACTCACACTCACACTCACACTCACACTCACACTCACACTCACACTCACACTCACACTCACACTCACACTCACACTCACACTCACACTCACACTCACACTCACACTCACACTCACACTCACACTCACACTCACACTCACACTCACACTCACACTCACACTCACACTCACACTCACACTCACACTCACACTCACACTCACACTCACACTCACACTCACACTCACACTCACACTCACACTCACACTCACACTCACACTCACACTCACACTCACACTCACACTCACACTCACACTCACACTCACACTCACACTCACACTCACACTCACACTCACACTCACACTCACACTCACACTCACACTCACACTCACACTCACACTCACACTCACACTCACACTCACACTCACACTCACACTCACACTCACACTCACACTCACACTCACACTCACACTCACACTCACACTCACACTCACACTCACACTCACACTCACACTCACACTCACACTCACACTCACACTCACACTCACACTCACACTCACACTCACACTCACACTCACACTCTCTCTGACAGCCGTGATGAGCATAGCGTAGGGCAGGTCGAGACTGGATCACGTGATCAGATTAATCACGTAGTAAGAAGAGGATGACATAACGTTATGTGAAGAGGGGAGAGGGTGGAGGAAGGGAGGGGGGTGGGGGGAGAGGATAAATCGCTCGTAACCTTGAAACTTTTGAGAGTCGCCACGTGCGTCTGCTGGGAGTAGGGGGTCAGGGAGAAGGAGGATGGGGGATGGGGCAGGGGGATGGGGCAGGGGGTATGGGATAGAAGTAAGGGTAAGGGAGGACGGAGAGAGACTTGAATTACACTGTCAAGGACGTATAGCGTAGTTTTGCGTTTCGTCTTTATTTCAGGAGCGTGGGTGGCGTTTATTCCTTTGCTCTTGGCATGTTAGCAGGGATTTGTAACTGTCACTGGATGGAGAATGTGATTCAAGTTGTACGTAAAGTTGTGACAAGTAACGGATCTATATATAGAGCTTTTGTAATGTTGTCTTGTATTACGGGTGTGTAAAGTGTAGGGTTTGTTTCGAGGGAGACAGATGTTAACCGCGCAACAAGTGTCTCGCATGTAAAAATACGGACACTTGTAATCAAGTGTTTTTAGTATCTTTAGTACATGTTTTCGATGTTTTTTGTTGCACTTTTCATACAAAACGCTTGTCTGGGTGAACGCTAAAAATATCGAGTCTTGGGTTTATTGATTTCATGGCGTCTTTTCTTCGGTGATAGTGATGCTAGACTGGTTACGTTTAACCTGTTTATTTCTCGGTTGAAATAGAAGTCGAGGGGCTCACTGTGGAATACGATGCAATCTTGCCTTAGATCAGTGGTTCTCAATCCTTTTGCAGAGCCGGAACCCTTTCACGTGTGTTGTATTCCTATATGCGATGTATAATGTGTCGTCATACTTTACGGAAATGTTTTATCCTTGTTTGGCAACACTGTACATGCACAGCGCTCAAAGGTAATAAATGTTTACATCTTTCATGCTCACGACTTGTACAGGTGTATTATTTCACTTTAGTCGTCCACTCTCGATCATGCATTTTGTTCTTGAATGCATTTCTGTCACTCCTCCCAGATCCCACCGCCGAACCCTGGGGCTCTGCGATACACAAACCGAGAACCACTCCCATAGTTTCATGTACTATATCAGTAATATATATATATATATATATATATATATATATATATATATATATATATATATATATATATATATATATATATTATATAATATATATCGTTAGGATATTGTTAGTGGCCGCCTATTTGAGATGATAGATGAAAAAAATGTTAATGCAATGCTGTTGGCACTTACGGTCTTGCTCCCGAGTTGACTTTTGTGGCGACCTTGGGCTCTAATAACTCCTTGTCTCGTCGACAGTGCCTCCTATCCTTTTAGCTCTCCTACGCTTTTTTCATATCTGTGTCTGTCTGTCTAGTTTGTCTCCTCTCTCTCTCTCTCTCTCTCTCTCTCTCTCTCTCTCTCTCTCTCTCTCTCTCTCTCTCTCTCTCTCTCTCTCTCTCTCTCTCTCTCTCTGTGTGTGTGTGTCCGTGTGTGTGTGTGTCCGTGTGTGTGTGTGTCCGTGTGTGTGTGTGTCCGTGTGTGTGTGTGTCCGTGTGTGTGTGTGTCCGTGTGTGTGTGTGTCCGTGTGTGTGTGTGTCCGTGTGTGTGTGTGTCCGTGTGTGTGTGTATGTATGTCCGTCCCATTCACTATACACGAAAAGTGGCACGTACTGTATGTCCATGGCGTTGCAGACTTTGCAAACTCCTCAAAATATTGAAAAGCTATTTCCTTCTTACAATTCGCACTACCCCACCTCGGCGTTACGATCAACGTATCCCGGGGTATTGTTCCAGAAGAAAATATATACATCATTTTGCTATTTCACATATTTTGGATGAAACAAAGGCGTAATTATAACGCCTCATACGAAGTACATTTGCAATATATATCTTGTGCATTACACGGCATTTTTGGAATTTGCATTTTCGAAACTTGAAACATTTACTCGGTACAGTATCAGAATTCCATTCTCCTAGTAAATCCGACGAGCATCATTAGTGTATCGTAGAAGCATTGCTTATTTAGGACCAAAGAATGCAACGCAGATCCCGAGACCGAAGGGCAGGCTAGCTGACGGTGTCCTTATATGGTGACGGGGAAATCGCCTGCCCGGTACTGCGACTCCCGAACCCGGCGGCGAGACCAGGGGAGCCGTTGGGTTCTCTGGTTTCTAACACGTTCTCTTTTCTGTTTTCTAATTCCTCTGTTTTGGAGGATTTCTTGTGTGTAGTTTGGGATGTTTTTTTGTCATAAAAGATAGGAGATGGGTTCTAAAGGGTCGTTCTAAAAGAGGGAAGTGGTTTGGGAAATGTAGGTGAGAAGTATTAGTGGTTGGCAGCAGTGTGGGCGAGATATGGGGAAGACCTGCCGTTCCAGCGAGAGGGAAGGAGCCGCCAATGCCACCCAGACTCTTTCTGTTCATAAAATTTATTTATTATTTTGAAGTGTCAAAAATTCTAGTGTGGTTCATTATGGAGTGAGACGTATATATACGGCCCTACCCCCTCTACCCACTGTTTTTCTCTTCACACTTCCCTTACTCCAAGGGCGTGGGGGCATGCCAGGCCAAGATCTATAGAAACCTTGTAGCGTCTGTTCTTTAGATTTCGTGTATAAGGAGTTGCCTGACTGGAGTTCGAATGAGACAAGATCTTGTTTTGCGTTTATACTTTATATGCACACGCACATGCACATGCACACGCGCGCGCGCGCGTACCCCGCCCCCTCCGCGCGCGCGCACTTTTCAAGGAACATCTTGAAAATACCACAAAGGTTAAAGAAACCACTCGGTCCATATGAAACTAGTGTTGGCTATTCTAATTTAATGGGCACTGCATCATCTCCAAGAATTTTTGTTTTAGAATTGGGAACTTTTGAAGCAAATTATTGAATTTTCAGAAACTTTTAGGGAGCTAACTTTATTTATTTGTATTCTGTTATTTTCTTACAATGAATAGTTGCCTCGACTTCCATGGGCAAGTTGGGTGGATTGCATTACTGAATTATGGAACTTGATTTCTTGAGTTTGTCTACATAGTAATCTGTCTTGCTATATTTATTGTATAATTTTTGTGTATATTTATTTTATGATGATGAATACTGAGAGTCCTTAAGATGATTAGTAGGTGTTCATGTACATCTAATTTTACTGTTTTTGTGCAAAGATTTAGGTCGTTTCGTGTATCCTCATTAACACTAACCAATGTTTACTCTTGATTACAGTGCCGGAAGCATACGTAACCCTAGCGACCAACAATGGCTATGCTGCGGGCGCCTTGGTGCTGGCCCATTCCCTGCGCTCTTGCGGCACCACCAAGGACCTGTGTATCATTATCACGCCGGCTGTCTCACCCGACATAAAGTGAGGGACTTAGAAATATAACAAATAAATTTATCCCCCCTATATTCTTTCTCTTTATTATATATTTGATAAAGTAGGAAAATTATTAGCTTTTTAAGTTTGCATATGGTTTATACTATTCATTGACACATGTGTGAACAACTGAATTCCATCCATTTATGAACTTTTTTTTTTTTTTCTCTCTCTCTCTCTCAATTTATTCCATTATGATGATTCTTTATTATGGATTTGCTTTTGCAGCCATAAGTTGTATCTGTACAATTACTTTACTTGTTTCTAGGTCCCTGCTGGAGCAAGTGTTTAATGCCGTAGTCACAGTCGATGTCCTGGATTCAGGAGACTCCGCCCACTTGGCTCTGATGAAGCGACCAGAGTTGGGCGTCACCTTCACAAAGTTCCACTGCTGGACCCTCACCCAATACACAAAATGCGTATTTCTCGATGCTGATATGTTGGTAAGTGCTTTGCTCTGCTTTTTTTGCCTGATACATTATTGGCATAATGGGATAGGAATGTTTTAACACTGTTTGCAGGTTTTGTTCTAGGCCTAATATTATTACCTCTCTACCCACAGGCTGTACAGAATCCAGATGAGCTCTTTTCCCATCCAGAGCTGACAGCAGTTTGCGACATTGGTTGGCCAGACTGCTTCAACTCCGGAATGTTCGTGTTCGTTCCCTCCCAGGACACATACGCCAAGTTGCTTCACATGTCAGAAACCACTGGAAGCTTTGATGGTGGTGATCAGGGCATTCTTAACACATTCTTCCCCAACTGGAACCGTGTGTCTTTCGTATTCAACATGGTTGCCTCTGCTACATACACCTACTTGCCAGCCTACAAACAGTGAGTACGGGAGGAGGAGGAAGGAGTACATGGCTCTTTATTTCAGTGGTGGCTAGAATTGATAATGGTTTCAATTTCAGCGTAGAGAAGGAATACTCTTGAATAAGGGAATGATGCTAAATACCCTTGACAGATTTGGAGGGAATGCAAGGCTGGTCCACTTCCTCGGTGCTACAAAGCCATGGCACTACCGCTTCGACTCCACAAGCGGCACCGTCCAGACTGGTCCAGGTTACCAACACCTTACTCCTTACCTCAATTCTTGGTGGGCCATTTACACACGCCTTGTCAAACCCAATGTTCCTGAAATGGTAGGTGCCAGTGCTTGAATTGTGCTTTCTCGTGCTAGTGGTTGATGAAGAGGAAATGTGTGATCAAACTTTTGCAGCCATAAGTTGTATCTGTACAATTACTTTACTTGTTTCTAGGTCCCTGCTGGAGCAAGTGTTTAATGCCGTAGTCACAGTCGATGTCCTGGATTCAGGAGACTCCGCCCACTTGGCTCTGATGAAGCGACCAGAGTTGGGCGTCACCTTCACAAAGTTCCACTGCTGGACCCTCACCCAATACACAAAATGCGTATTTCTCGATGCTGATATGTTGGTAAGTGCTTTGCTCTGCTTTTTTTGCCTGATACATTATTGGCATAATGGGTTAGGAATGTTTTAACACTGTTTGCAGGTTTTGTTCTAGGCCTAATATTATTACCTCTCTACCCACAGGCTGTACAGAATCCAGATGAGCTCTTTTCCCATCCAGAGCTGACAGCAGTTTGCGACATTGGTTGGCCAGACTGCTTCAACTCCGGAATGTTCGTGTTCGTTCCCTCCCAGGACACATACGCCAAGTTGCTTCACATGTCAGAAACCACTGGAAGCTTTGATGGTGGTGATCAGGGCATTCTTAACACATTCTTCCCCAACTGGAACCGTGTGTCTTTCGTATTCAACATGGTTGCCTCTGCTACATACACCTACTTGCCAGCCTACAAACAGTGAGTACGGGAGGAGGAGGAAGGAGTACATGGCTCTTTATTTCAGTGGTGGCTAGAATTGATAATGGTTTCAATTTCAGCGTAGAGAAGGAATACTCTTGAATAAGGGAATGATGCTAAATACCCTTGACAGATTTGGAGGGAATGCAAGGCTGGTCCACTTCCTCGGTGCTACAAAGCCATGGCACTACCGCTTCGACTCCACAAGCGGCACCGTCCAGACTGGTCCAGGTTACCAACACCTTACTCCTTACCTCAATTCTTGGTGGGCCATTTACACACGCCTTGTCAAACCCAATGTTCCTGAAATGGTAGGTGCCAGTGCTTGAATTGTGCTTTCTCGTGCTAGTGGTTGATGAAGAGGAAATGTGTGATCAAAGTAACATCTGACCTTAGCATTATTTACTAAATGTGTGTTTTTATTATAACTGATAAAATGTTGCCAGATTTTCTTCGTGGAAATCGGAAGATTTCAACTGTGAAGATGTAGAAATGTCTTCGCTTTTAGTGTACTTAAATTTTTTTTTTTTTTAAGGTACCTGAAGACTACCAGTATTTCAATTTCTAGAATTTAGAGAAATCTGACATGCATATGTGTGCTAATTGATGGATTGCTTGCTTTTAGTTTTATTTCATTAACTTTTTTCTTATACCCCTAAGTTCTTAAAAGATGAGTTCTAAAGTCTGCTAATGAACTGTCAAACCATACATATTAGTTCTAGTACTAAGGTTTTACAGTGACCTTAATAGTCCAGATGTATAGTTACATAGTTAATGTTGTAATGATAGCTGTTGTACCGTAAATAGCATTTACTGTAATAAGTATGCTTCCAGAATTGTGTAAAACCTTTATAGAATTCATTCCTTTGAAATGGCATAAATATATTAATATGGTTTTCAGTATAAACCATTTTATTTTATATCTCTTGACTTTATTCAGTCTTTATAGTAATGATAAAAACCAATATATTTTTGGATTTTATAGTTTATATCCCAGAGTTTTCAGAAAGTCTTAATAAGTGTTTGTGTGACAAGGCTGTATAATCTTAATCCCTTATTGGAAACTTTTGGCATGTAAAATTGTGTTGACTACCATTTTGTTTTGCCGCCTAAGTTTTATTTTACAACAGATTAACATTTCCCCCCCCTACCAAGGATGTTCTCTTCATTTGTTATGTGTGTGATGCATGCATTAATTTCTTTCATGAATATTTTCTGACAGGATGTTCAAAAAGCAGTGGAGGTAAAGTCTCCTGTCGAAACCATCCAGGTAATATATATTGCTTTCTCTCTCTCGTGCTCTGGCTGTCTGCTTCCATCTTGCTCTCATATGTGCAATTGTATTCTTGCTCTTGCTTTTGCCGTTTTTCTCACTCTAGCTTTCCCTCTTGAGCTCTTTAGCTCACTCGCTCTACTCTCTAGTTCTGATATCTGGCTTTGCTCTCTGGCTCTGTGCTCTAGCTCTTCAGCTCTCTAGCTCTGCTCTTTGGCTCTAGCTTTCTTGCTGTCTCTAGCTCTAGCTCTTCAGCTCTCTAGCTCTGCTCTCTGGCTCTCTCATGGTCTCTAGCTCTAGCTCTTTAGCTCTCTTGCTCATTTGTTAATTTTTTTTATGAATATATGTACAAGTTTATAGATTTGTTAATACTTCTTTATTATTCATTTAGTGTAATTACATTAGGATTTAACTCAAAAGAAAAAAGATGTTCATTATTTTTTATAGCATCTTAATTATAATTAAATTTTAATTATAAAGTATTCTATAAGGGCAGAAATAAAGCTTGACCTTTATGTAGAAATGTCATAGTACTTTTGCATTGATGACTGTTTATTTAGCTCAATGATAAATGGTTGTGTACAAATATTCACATAGGTTGATAAATGGTGTTAAGTGGTATTCTTAGCAATAGATACAATGTAGGATAATTATATTACTAACATTAATAAACTTATAGTAACTAACCCACCATCCATCCTCCCTAACATGCTGCTCTATAGGATGTACAAGAAATTTCTAGCACTGTTCACTCAAACGATGAATCCCGTTCCACGTGTTCAGTAAACGGAGACTGCGAGGTAAAAAGTAGTCGTAATTTGACTTCCAAAGTTGGAGACGATACAGAGAGCACACAGTGTGTTAGTTTTTCAGAGGCACTTGCTCTAAGGAGTGACATAGAGCCAAGTGTGTGTGTCTGCAATGCAGGCAGTGATAGAGGGGAAGAACCTCAGGTAACATCAAAGTAGTAGATATCACTGCACCTAGAGCTTTCTCTTTTGCACACACTGAATGAGGAATAGCATTGATGAAAGGAAAAATGAATGGTGAAGGAAGGATATTAGAACTAAAGGCATTAATGGTGCATGTGGCTCTTGGAAGAAAAGTACAGGCTGGGAAGACTTTCCTCTTTATTGGTTAGAGTTCATGATGTTTATTGATATAGGTCTCTTATTTTATTCCTTGGACTAGGTAAGATAGGATTACTTGGGGTGTACGTTGGTGCATGTGTATCATTATATTAAACTGAACAAAGGGGTTTTCATTTTGACCAGGTTGGCTATGGATAGTTTCCTCTCATGTGTGATGGAGAACACATATTTTTATTATTATTCATCTATGTTATGCTTTGCGACTGTAGATAAAAGGTGATGGTGTCATCATACATGAATATGCACTTGAAACAAGTAGCCTTACTTTTTTAACCTTATTTTGTTTATTCCTCATATTAAAGCTAAAGATTATAAATTTTGATTTTTATATTACATTTACTCAATGGTACCATTTGCTAATAACCTTCTTTCTGCCCAATAGATTGCGCAGCAGATCAGTGGCATGCACATTGGTGCCGAGTCTCTCCAAGAGGGCCAGGCAAGGTGGGAGAGAGGAGAACCTGACTACCTGGGCCGCGACTCCTTTGCAAACATCCAGGCCTACATCGACTCCAAGATCAAAGGCAATGGAAAGTAGAAATGCCACCGGACTCAGAGCATGAGTTGCGTGCAGAATGTTTCAAGATACTATGCCTCGCTTGGATATCTGATGTTGATCAGGGCAGTAACTGTGATTAGCAACTGTAAATGAGATTTTTTGTAGTAATGTTGATCTCCTTTCTTGGGGAAAGAATTGCAGACGGTTAAACAAAGGATACAGTTGTTTCAGAAAATGTTTCAACAGACCATGTCCACTTACTTGCCAGTGTCATCAACAGAGGGTTCTAAGTGTGAACTTTTTCTATATTCAAATCTATTTCATACTCTGTGGCATATTACATAATCTTCACTTTAGTGATGATGTTTTCAAACTTTTTTTTTTTTCTCTCTTCATTCATTAAGGAAGATAACATCAGACAGCAAATAGATGCAGTAGCAAGTGACATGCCATAAGAAGCACCTTCTTGAGCTTCTGACAATGTTGAGGCTTTGATGGCCTTAAAGACTGCAGCTTTCATTATGGTTTTGCTCCTACACTGCTTACTGTTTGATTTATAGTGAATCTCGATTTTTTTTATTTTATTTATTTTTTTTCCTTTATTATTATTATTATTATTTTTTTTTTTTTTTACCTCTTTTGTTATGCACATGCAGTGTACTGTTGATTGGTTAACAGTCTAGTCTAATTTGTTGCTCAAATTTTTGTTTTTTTGTTACGGTTGACTCAGTGCCTTTAAAGGGGTATGATTGAAAGTGGGGTTGTGGGTTTTTTGACAGTGACATTAGGACATGATACAGAACAGCTCTCATGCAATGTTGGGTAATTTAACTGTAATATAAAATAAAAGATAATTAAATTTATGAACAAATATCTTGTGTTCAGACATTCCGTTTTACCCAAAATACTTAACACTAAAAATGGTTCTTGATTCATGTATTGTGCCAAATAATTGGTGTGTGCCAATTGAATAAAGAAAAGAAATTGATTTGTCTTTAGTTTTCTTCTGGCCTTTTATTTTTCATTCATTTTGTTTGGGGGGGAGGGGGTCATTTCAGTTACGCTAGCTTGCATTTCATTTGATTTTTGCAGATAAAATATCACTTGTATATTACTTGTACAAGTAAGCTTTATACATATTCTAATTGAATAAAATTAAGATATTAGTGTAATATCCATGTATCATATGGGTAAATAATTGTTCATCTATTGCAGGTTTTAAAAGCTGTGCATTTCTAGACATTAGAACTTGTCATGTGATTCATGGGTTCTTTTAAGCTCTTGAGGTTTCGAAGTTAAGAAGCTTTGAATAAAGATGTGACTTGTACAAAATGCTGGAAGTGAAAAAGAACTGCTTTTAATGTAAATGGGCATTTTACTTTGATCTTTGTTGTATTCAGTGGAAGAGATTTGACTAATATATCCTTTTCTAAGTAAAGGTAATACAAGGAAAGGTTATGATATATGCAGGTAAAACAACAAAATGATCATCTATATTTCTAGAGCCAAAGCTGAAGCTAAGATGCATGATTTAAATCAAGTTATGGAAATGTACTTTAAACTGTTTTAAAAAAATAATAAATGTATAAATTTGATTAATATTTATTAATAAATACAGAATCCTCCCATATTCGTGTAAATAATTCTGGAATTCAGGATCATATACACAGTACTTTGTGTTTCATTAAAAGTAATATTTAATTCAAACCTCAGTTTAAAAAATTAAAGTGGGGATTTCATAAGTAAGTGTCCATTGATGCTAGCTTTCATATTCTAATTATTAATAGTGCTTGAAACATGCGCATGCATTACATTACTACTATTAAGAGATCCAAGACTATAAGGATTGTTTACTGAAATGCTTAAGAAAATGTCTTTATATGGTTGATGTAAAGTATTTTTCATAGTTAATGCTTCAATTGAAAATTTCCAAAGGAAATAATTAAGAAAGTTGATTTATAAAAGTCCTTAGATATTTTTCATTAAAACCTGTCCACACAAACGGGCATGATCAATGGGCACGCAGACAGGCACAGATAGGGACGACCTCAGGGGTGGACAAATTACTCGATAAACAAGTAGTTTCCTCATTTTCTCACTTGTGATGTCACCTTTACAGTTGCCCGTTGATGCATCTGCCAATCATGTCTGCTTGTGTGGGCAAGCCTGTAGATATTCTTCAAATCCTTTGTGCAGGTTTGTGTATGACTGAGCACAAATAACTCAATGTTGATGAGGCACAATATTTAAGATCAAATTAAATCCTAAAGCAAAGATAAGTTAGATGTATTTTTTAATACAAATAGAGTGTAGTAATTCTTCAATTTTCATGTACCTCCTCATTTCCTTCTTAAAACTGAACACATGCAGCTACTAAAATCCATTCTTTTACATTCAGCAAGGATAATGGCATGTGATATGAGGGCACGTACTTCTAATGGTATTTTCAGACCAATAGCACAAAAATGCATTTATTAAATGTTTTGCCTGCTGAAACTTTCATCTGTAACAAAAGCATCAATATGCTCACCTTAATCCACAGCAGTTAAGAGAATGTAGTGCATTAACATGAACAAATAAATGTTTTTTTATTAAAGATGGAAGTATCAATAAACATGACATTTAGATCAGGAAATTGGCTTGAAGATGCTTTTGGATGTGCAAGCCCTCATATACTCTGTATATATAAGTTAGATATACATGTATAGATATACATATATTGAATAGATTTTTTTTTTTAAAGAATTTAATGTTAATTTATCCTGTTATCAAAAGGATTCAAAACTGGAGCAAAACTTCCAAATATACCATAGAGAAAATACCAATAAATCTTTCATTGTTCTACACTGATTCAATTACCAAATTTCTAAAAATGGCATTTCCACAGGAAAATGTAAAATGAAATCTTTAAAAAGTTACCTTTACTTTCTTAATTAGAGAAGCCTTCAGAAGTTGCAAAAAGGACTTCCAATAAAGTTTTCATGTTAACTGTATTTCCAATATAAAAATAAAGGTTATGAGAGGCCTTAGACTTTGTCATAGTTTACAGAATTTTGTTTTAGTATAGTATTTTAGTATTTAGTATAACACAAAATATTGTGATATTTTTAGTAATTAGGTGGTCAGTTTTCTTCCCCAATTTTTACCATGCAGTAAGGGTTATAGGTAATTCCTTCTTTCTGTCCTCTCTCTCTCTCTTCCCTTTTTTCCTCATTCTCATCTTGTTTTCCTTCTCATCTTCTACCTCCTCTTTACCTTACCAATTCTCATTTTCCTCATCCTTTGCCCATCTTTGAAGCTTGGTTGATTCAGCCTCACAGTCCCATCCACACAACTGCTGGCTATATATTCCCCACTGTGTTAGCTGTATTACCAGACTGAGCAGTGTCCAATGGGGTTTAGCAAAATCTGTTAAACACAATTTTCTTGTCCATTTTGATGGTTTGCTTGTGGTTAGCAAGTGGTTTTGTTGCTTATGACACCAATACCACTTTTACTTGCCACCCACCGTCAAAATATTTCAGTTAGAATGTGATTTCATAACAGTTTTCATGTCATGCTCTGTCGATCATTTGGAGGGGCCTTAACTGAAAACCAACTGGAGCATATATGCTTATGTGGTCATATGACAAACTACTTATGTACACACACACACACATACCCTTAATATAATTCACACTGCAGACAATAAAAAATTGTGATCTTATATATTTACATTTTATTGCAGAAATTTAAACAGGATTTTTTTTTTTATAACAAGACAAAATACAGTCATGATGACCTCATTTCTGTAAATAACCAGAAGGACAACCTAAATAGTAAAGCTGAGAAGGTGCTGTGAATGGATTATACAAACAAAAATTAATATTGAACACAGTTATGAACAAAAAAAAAACACAGTATGAAAGGAAATTATACACAACATTCAAGCTTCTCAAAGATTCCTCTTCAGACAAAGAGAAAAAAGCAAAATTCATTTTGGTTATTTACTTTGTCTGATGCAGAACTCTTGACAAATTCAACATGCTATGTTCAATTTCCTTTCATACTGTGGCTGTGTTTCCCATCATCTTTGTGTACATGTTACTATTTGTTTATGTTCAATTTGGTCATGAATATTCTAAAAGATGAAACTAATGTAAGGATACAATGAATTAGTTGGTAAATACAAAGGCCATGAATGAACTTTTAAGTTATTCACCATAACACTTTATTTTTAATACATGGCATAATCATGAATAGTTCTAAGCAGTGCATAATACATATTTCCTGCACTTTACATGGCCATCTTTCATAGGTTACCTAGACAACTAAGCAGCTTATACAGTAAATACCAAATAAAATCAAATGAGTATGATAAAAGTGTTATTGTTATGATGTGTCGTTGCACTATATTCATTGTAAAGCATGTCAGTGTCAACAGTAGAATACAGAAAATATTTATATGTCTTCAAATTAAAGAGGAACTGATATCAAGGGAACTGGTGTTTCTTTCTAAATGTAGGATCCTTCAACTCAGAGGCTGGAAGAACTATTACAAAATTGTATTTGTTAAACATTACTTAATTACCTTATGGTAATTAAGGCCTGTATGAGACAGTCAAGATGGGTTTGTTTTTCATCATATCTAGCAATGTATTATATATTCTGATATAATAACACTTGTTTTTAACATTGTAATATCTGTTTATATGAATGATTATTTGTGGCTATTATTAAAAGATGTAAATCAGCATCAGCCTCCCCTTTCCCCTTAAACTCCACAAAAAACATAGTAAATATGCAAATTTCTGTAGAACTTTAACTAATAATTTATGTATATACATAAAGTATATAACTAAGTTTTAAAAAATGATAATAATATTTGCATAACTGTTAATCTGCACTTGAAGGAATAATTTTATCACATAGATAGGAATAATGGAAAGATGCTATGTGTATTATCACTTTTTTTTTTAATTGGTATGTAGTAAGATGTATTAATTTTCTTCACTTAAAAGGTTGATGCATGTTTATTTCATATCCATAAAGAAAAGCAGAATCTATTTTTTTTTTTTTTTTACTTGCACATTGATTTATCTTTCTTTGATATTTTTATAATGAAAATGACATAATAATTACCATAAAGTAGAGGCACAATAATAGCAACCGTCCAACTGAAATAATATGCTTAATTGACTGCAGCACAATTTACCTTTACTGAAGTCATTTAGGTACTTCAAACGTGGTCATATTGGTCCACTATGAAATATTAAGGTGCAGGCCTGCCTCACGGCTTCAGAGAGGCCAGTGCAATGTCTGGTTTATGTGCCAATGGAGGATAGAAGCAGAGCAGTGCTTTTTTGTTCCTTATTGGCAACCTTCATCAGATTATTCAAATCACATGTTCTACATCTCCAAAAATATCTGACTTCCATCCTATAAAATCCACTGATGCTGCTGCAAAACATCATGGAGCCAAGATCCCAATGTGCCTTGTTACTCTTGAGTCGTCAGCTTTTCCAACTGCCCCTTCCTTCTAAGCAAAGGAAACTGGATAATAAAAAGAACATTTTCCTCATCGTATTACGGATAATCTCTCTTATTTATCCTTCTGTGATATTTTTATAATGAAAAAGACATAATAATTATCATAAAGTAGAGGCACAATAATAGCAACCGTCCAACTGAAATAATATGCTTGATTGACTGCAGCACAATTTACCTTTACTGAAGTCATTTAGGTACTTCAAAAGTGGTCATATTGGTCCATTATGAAATTATTAAGGTGTCAGTCACTGCTCTCTTGGCTCACATTAACTTAGATCATACCAGTTACTAAAAATCTTGTTTGGTGTTTTTTCTTGATCAGAGATAACTCCTTGGGCTTTCTAAAAATATATACGTATTGAAAAAAGTTGTTAATTAACAACAGCCACATGATTATTACCCAATGTTATGAACAACTTAGGCTTCAGAGAGGCCAGTGCAATGTCTGGTTTATGTGCC